ACCCACCACTGTACAGTTAGAAAACCAGCGCTCTGGTGTGCAACAGAGACTTCAATCGAGGAATGTTTGATGGTAAGAAAGAGACTTCGATAAGTCTGCGCATGTCGGTGTGACCATCATTCGAGGTTGAAGCAAGTAGCTTCTCACCACAGCATTCAGGTAAATTATGTCGTTGCACGCACCATTGTGGGGTAAATTAGATGACGTCCCAGCATGAAATATTCAGATGGATCCCCTTGTTCACTTACTCAAACATGGTAAGTCGTAGTGACCGGGTTGATTTTTCGAAACCTATGGGTCATCATATACACACAAGGATAAATCCACGCACAGGGACAAGGGTTCCTCTTATACGATTAGTATGTCCATCAGAAAAGTGCCAACAATTTCTCAAATAAATGCCACCATGTGGCCCGGCTCCTGGTTTGGCGGTAGCCACTACCGATCCACATATGTATAACGGAAACTCCCCGAAAATCGAGTTGAATCATACGAGGATATTGTACAAATTACTGAAACTGATGGTATTCATTCGAGGACTCAAAATCACTCAAAACAGTTACATTCTCTTTTGATTTTTTTCTGAAACCTAATCAAGAATGAGCCCTTCTAAGGAATCAGCATGAAATGGTTGCTAACCGATTGACGATCCTAATGTTGGTTTCTGTCCAGACTGTCTGAATGAGTGTCTGGAGTTTTACGCATCCCCAAGTGATGGTGGTAGGCTGGAACTGAACTCCTACTCATTCAGGCTTATTTTTTTCTTCACAATAAGACGTCCATCTGGAAACGGATTGTTCTGCATAGAAGCATCGGCCGCGGACACTGCGCTATGCTGATGTGGATGATGATGGAGATGACGATTATGACAGCGCAAGAAACAGATTTGCCTGAAGCAGAGAATAGGAATTTTAACGCTCAATCGCCGAGCATGATGGTGATGGTTATGGTGCCAATTGTGACAACAATGAGAAAAAAGTTAATCACCTGATTTCCTCTAATTTCTTTCAACCGGTGTGCGGCAAACCAACATGACCTCACTTGGGAATTTACAAATATACCACGCTCTACCAGGTTAGAGGTAGAATTATGAACAAATTGAAAGATTCAGAATCTGCGAAGAATGTCATGTGGTTTTTCTGTTACACCCCCTACTTTGTTGACGAAGTCTTGTGAATTCTTAATGTAAGCACTAGATTTCCCGGTGAGGGGCTTTAAGCCATCGGTCAACAATCTGGCCAGTGGTTAGGGGCCTCTGAATTTGAACAACAGGTCCATGGATAGTTAAGGAGTCTCTAGGTCATTTCGGAGGGAGCTCCACTGCCTCGTTTTATCATTCACTAGAGGAATTCACGATGGTGGATGTGTGGATCGGCGGTACGTTTCGACAGCTTTCTTCTGGGTGCAACAAACCAGCATCTACCAAGGGACCACATATTGCCGAAGTCAGTGGATGTCGCCTTTTAGGGTACGGTAATAACTCAGTATCAAGCGTATGCGGTATCTAGCCCGTCCCAATGCGTTAATATTCAACTGGTTAGTGCAACGGGATTTAAATGACGGTGTTGTGGTGACGGTCCAAAATGATGCCGTCTAACATGCTTGGATAGTGACAAGCGTGTCAAGCAGCCATCACACGCGTAAAACCCAAAAGAAGTCTCTCCGCGAATGGACGCTGTTTCAGCAAGGTGTGTTACATATGCAAATTTGTAATTGTATTTTTGAGTGAACCAGTTAACTAACTATTCGCCGAAATCCCGCTCGCTGTGATCATTTTCTTATTGCAATCATTCTTCGTGCAGGTAGAGGCATTTTGTACCCAAAACCGAGACGAACCGTGAAACCATTTCATCCTTACGAGAAATGATCAGCGGTGCGCATCTAACGAAAATCCAGGTAGTTTCGAACCGAACCTGTGGTGGTCCAACTAGTGCAATCAGCACTTGACCGTTGAGTTCCTACCGGCGCATTGGCAGTGTGATTAGCTCTCATCAAGACTGGACATAAGGTCGCTCATTCTCCAGTAACAAAAAGCACGTTTTTTAGTCACGTGTTGACAGGCTCATCGGGTGACCACTTCTGAGGAGGAGGTTTCGGAATTGAATGTAGTTATGCTTCCTCCGACATATTAGTGAAGCTAATATAAACTGAAAATCCAGAAATCACAACAGTTTCATCCTAATTTGAAAACACCATCAAACAAACCCTACAAAACCGGAAATAAATATCCGTCTAAAGTTGCCTACTACTGCGACTGACGTTAGGAAAACAATGTATAGAATTTATCAAGTCATGTTGATTCGGCGACCTAATCTACCGACAAACGGACGGTAATCCCAAAAGGCCTATTACTTGTGCAATTGTCTTAGACATATTCTGGAATACAATAATTAACTAAAGTAAGATAGTTAGTCTCATTTCATTTGCACTTCGGTTTTGACGGTAAACTCAAGAAGCGCAAGACCTGTCGTCTGTTGTCCAACATTTCTCAGCAAATTTACCAGTAATATATGACACCAAAACGACGGCGTATTGCGTACGTCAAATATCGTACAAACTGGTATACTTAGCAGGCTTGTTCACCACATTCAGTTGAAGCAAACCATTACAAACAGGAAATTCAACTTGATTCATCTGAGTCTCCTGTCAAAACTGAATTCATGTGCAAATGAACAAAGTTATCAAAATCTGTCCAAGTTCGCTTGTAGTAGAATATAGGGGAGATATAAACTCGGAGACCACTAACAAAGAATGACAAAACCGGTGATGAGCAGCCCATGGATTTTGAGCAACCGTATGTGTTGTGTGACTTGCAGAATGAACAGAGTCAACAAGCTCACAGGGCTCAGCTACGTAAGGTGCTACATCAAACAGGATTTCTTTAGCTTGAAGGCCGACATGAAATTGGCCGAGGTGATGAACATATGGATCATTGATTTCGGAGTGTCTCTACGCTCTACATGGTAGTATCTAGCGATATGTATACGGAATATCTACAAAAGCCAAATTACAATTTATATACTAGTGAATGTACGGAAGACCTTCGCTGCGGAGGTGTTTAGCAGAAAACACTAATTGCACATTTGCAGATAATGAGACGGGAAACTAAAACTCATTCGTGCATTCTGTCTCTTTTTGAAAACTCTTCTTCTACTTCTTCCTCGTGAGCGCGCCTTCTTGAAATTCTCTGGATATCCAGCGACTACCAGGCAATCGTAATCCTGTGATAGCCGCTATACACCAATGTTCTGATCTACCAGAAGACGCGGATGTCAACTATGTATTATCATAGAGAAGAACATGCGTTCAGTTGGTTGCATGGAAGCGTAATCTGCCACCAACACTATTGGAACCAGTCGCCTGCCATCGCTTGATCGGGGATTGCGCCCACCTGATGAGCCCTAAGAACTCCGAAACCGGTCGTAGGTTGACCACAAATTTTCAGCAACCCTACAAATGAACATGTCTCGCGATATCTCGAATATTGTGGCGACCGAAAAAATTGGGC